GTTCATTTATTTTACTCACACCAACACCAGTGGTACAGTATATAAATAAGTCGTCATAGATGTGAAAAATAATAAATAAATGTATGAAACAATAGCATAAATGACAGACATATACATATATGTACAAAATTTAGCAATAAACATAAGAGAAAAGAAAAGAATGGGATTGTGACATATGAATTATGGAGGACAGACGGTATCGTTTATTTTAGATATGAATATTCGAAGGTTTTTAAAAGATTTTAAATTTGTGATTGACATAATTTCAGAAAATATACATACAGCATGGAATCCATATGTAATATCGACATTAAATATCGGCAAAGCAATACGTTTTAGAGTTTAATAGTTCTCAATTCATGCACGGATCTAGAGGGGGTCGGGGATGGGGGTTCGGACACCCCTGGAATTTGCAGAGTTATTAAAAGTATATAATGAAGCAAATAAAAATGACTTTGAACCCCCCCCCCTCCCTAGAAACGTGGACCCCACCACCACGACGAATAGGTTTTGTTTTTTTTTTACATTTTAAGAAAGATAACTCTAATCATCTGCTCGGGTTGGTCTACTAGAGTAACTAAAATTACCCGCATTTAGGAAGTTTGTTGTTTTCTGATATTGAAGTCCTTTAATATTCACATAGCCTATTAAAGACTTGAAATTTATCAGTCATAGGAATCAGCGTTATCGTTTGGCTGGCGCAACGGAGCAATTTAAGCGGGGGGGGGGCTAAAAAAATTATTGACCCCCCACCCCCACCTCTCGAAAAGGGGGTGGGTCATCAGTTTTGGGGCTTGCATAACCGCTGTTATCTAATGTATTGTACGAGTATACTGGCAAAATTAATGAGGGTACACAATTGTATGTGCAATAGCCTTGTTTTCTATATAGTATACATTGACAACATAAACTGGGGGAGGGGCATGGCCCTCCGTTTCTCTGGTTCCTACTGCACCTCAAATCAATTCGATATCTTTTTCTATGGCTGAACCCCTACCTCCTTCAAAATTTCTTGGATCATTGTTTTTAAAATATGAAAAGCAACAAGTGCTCTTTAACCTTGAATATATTATACATTTGTATATAGTATATATGAGTATCAGTTGATATTTTTGATTTACTCACAAGAATTCAGTTTGACAATATTTTATTTCACAGCGATAACAAAGCTGTCTAAATAGAGGATATTCAATGTTCTGTAGATGAATATGGAATTTATTTCACGAGTGGGACAGGATTTTTTGATATTTTTCACGAGTGCGAAGCACGAGTGAAAATATCAAAAAATCCTGTCTCACTCGTGAAATAAATTCCATATTCATCTACAAAACATTGAATGTTCTGTTTATTACATTTTCTTTGATTTTCCCTTTTCCTCTGTCTTTTCTTAACACATCATAGGCCTGACGTCATAATTGAGCGGTTGAGACATCAAAGCAGTTGTGTGATTGAAAACATTACATAGCATGGATTTTAGCAACACATTTGGGAAGAAATTTGCAGTTAGTTACTATCTCTATCTCATGACAGGCCAGAAATTATTTTTTACCAACTTTGATATCCTTTCACACTGTGAGAGAATATCATTTTGGTATCCTTTCACACTGTGAGAGAATATCACTTTTATTCAATAAATAAATCACAGTATTTCACTGCTGAAAATGTAATAAATAGAGGATATTCAATGTTTCGTAGATGAATATGGAATTTATTTCACGAGTGGGACGAGTGAAAAAAATTCCATATTCATCTACGAAACATTGAATTTTCTGTTTATTACATTTTCTTTGATTTTCCCTTTGCCTCTGTCTTTTCTTAACCCAGTGTCATAGATAGGCTTGACGTCATAGTTGAGGGGTTGAGACGTCATAACTTAGCAGTTGTGAGATTGAAAACATTACATAGCATGTATTTTAGCAACATATTTGGGAAGAAAATTGCAGTCTTAGCTCTATCAAGATGTTTAGTTACTATCTCTATCTTATGACAGGTCAGAAATTATTTTTTATTTACTTTGATATCCTTTCACACTGTGAGAGAATATCATTTTGGTATTCTTTCACACTGTGAGAGAATATCACTTTTATTCAGTAAATAAATCACAGTATTTCACTGTTGAAAATGTAATAAAAGGCACTATTAACCTTATATAAATTTGAGAAATAGATTTTTTAATAGTTTTAATAATAATAGAGTTATGGCATTCTGATTGCTAAAATTTTATATTTCAATCATGCTATCTAAGAGGAAATGAGTTATCACATTGAATTAAGTTATTTACATTTCTTCATTTTCCAAATGTTCTTCTAAAATTTGCAAAACCTGTGTTATTTTGAGAACAAAAATTCTGTTTTATAGCATCCTTACCTGACCAAGTTTTTATTCTAAAACTTGACATACTAAAACTTCAAACGTTGTCAATATGATTAAATGCGCACAATGCAGACTGATATATATTGGGAAACCAAGAGCTAACTTAGTACGAGAATGTCGCGGGGTACAGTGAAATAAATAATGGGGTTATCAACATCTTTATAAACATTTCAATTCGCCTAACCACTCTTTTCTTTCAACAAGAGTTAGAATTTTGGAGAAAAAAATATATCATCCAACTAATAGTCCAACTTTAAGCACTCCATTCCGTAGACAACGAGAAGAATGCTAGATCAGGAAACTAGGTACTGCATTTCGGTATGTTTGCAACGACCACATGAATAATGTAGGGAATCTTTCAAGCCAACAATGTGCCAACATGAATATGACGCGACTTTTTAACAATACACTTAGACGTAGGCGTAATTATTGACATCGATCGTACAATAGACCAAATATACAAAATGTCTCTTTTTACCTTATCAATAAACAATTAAGTCTTCGTCACATTTGCAGCAAACTTTACTCGGTTCCCTTGAAATTTTTGAATGGACTATTTGAAGAAGCTGAAGAAACTGCAGAATGCAAGCTGGTGTTTGTGATGAGGATGTAGTCCAGCACATCTAAAAGGCACCACGTGTGTCGGAAGATAATATATAAACTAGTCGGTTTCTTAAATTTAAATTTTCCAATATATCGGAATAAATGCTGTGAACATTACAACATTCTTATTCATATTTAAGTTCAGTTTTGCATTTAACCATATTTCAAGCTGAAGTCTACTACCCTTCACTACCCTGTTTCCTACAGAATTTTTCAAAATTGTTGCTTCCAAACATTCCAATTATAAATAAACCTTGCAGTGCCTAATGCCTGAGATAAAACAAAATCCTCGTAAGTACTCATGCACTTCTTCTTTCAACTACAGTCTCGCTGGACACGTCATTACCGGTGATGTTAATTAAGTTGAAAATGACGACCTAAAAGCAATCATCTTTTTTTATAAAAAAAAAAAAAAGGGAGGGGTCCTTAATTAAATAAAGAAATCCCGATCTGTCAATCGGCAACAGAAAAACAATACTACGAAACAGGATGGGAACCACATAGTTGTGGAAGACAAACACCTAGTTTAAAAACAATGTTCAAGATGCATAATAATTTAGCACCATATTGTCTAATGGACATACTTCCAGATATGCGTTGTTATACATCTCTTTATTCAACAAGAAATTCTGAAAATTGTGATATTCCAGAATGTAGATTACAACATTTATTCCTACTGTCTATACTAGTGTGGTAAAGTAGAGGATGCATATAATTTTTTTTTTACATGTCCAAAGAATGTGAAAACTAGAAAAGAATTTTGCAATATTTTTTTTTAATTACTATTTGATAAAATTTACATTATAGATACAAATGTCTTATTATGGAAGATAGATTCATTGAGTACTGCAGAGAATGGACATCTTTTCTCTTTTGTTCAAACATTTATTAAACATCCTGGTAGATTTTCTTATTACTGTTAATAAATATACAGTATATGTATATACTTGCAAAATTACATGCATGCATCTTGGGAAGGGGGGGGGGGGTCCGAAATCTCGACATCTCGGGGGTGGAATCGGGATGGTATGGTGGATTTATTTTGTCTGTTCATATATTGGTTTTTTTTCCCTCTATATGTCTCCCAGTATTCAATTTGAAATAACGTTATTCGACTTTCTCGTGCAAACTTATCTCATTCTGGTTGCAAAATGTTGCATTGCAAGAAATAGAGTCTTTTACATGAAACAACGGGACCGTTTTATGTCAGGATTAAACCATGTAAAGTACTTATTTTTATTATATATGTCACAGCCTTATAATGTGGTAAAATATAACACAACACGGCTGCTGGGTTCGATGTTTATATATAATATATAATCTACGATTATGGAATTTATAACATAGAAGGAAGGGTGACCTGAAATATAACAACAGGTATTAAATATCTCTCGCCTCACTCACACTTTTACGCGGATCATAATTTAAATTTTATAAATTTGGATAATTTAGAAAATACTCGATTTGAATAAAATGATCAAATAGATATTGAATAATAATTGAATCCTTTAGAAATAATTTACCAGTTATTTCTTACCGTAATTCCTAGACTGAAGTCCACAATTATCGTGAGATAAAGTTGTGTTGGGAAGAGAGAGCGTCTTCTCTCCCCAAAGTCTAAGGTTGGAGTGCTAGAGAATTAGTATTGGCGCGAATGCGCAGGGGACAGAGTAAAACCAGTTTGACCACTCACACACCCGTACTCTCACTGACCACTCACCCGTATAAATGAATGAATGAATGAATAAGGCAATGAATGAACGTAGTAAATTCCGTAGTGAGAACGGAATTCACTAGTTACTATAATAATATAATGCCTTAGACAAATGTATGAATATGATATGAATGATAATTAGTAATATTAATTAATTAATTATAATTGACCCTGTGACATATATGTGGTTCATTTTTATTAATTATATCTATATTTTAATTTATGTAACTTTAAATAATCGGAATCGGGATTCCGTTATGCAGACGTAAACTTCCTGTTTCCTCCCAAGATCCAGATCCGAGATCCAAGA